CCACAGGGCTGGAGGGGGCTGTTGTGCCAGCGAGGCCAGGAGGCTGCTCTCTGCCTTCCCGAGGGCTCGTCCCCCAGGCCTGCGCCCAGCCCTGCTCCCTCCATGCTCGTGCTGTTCCCTGCGCCCCTTGGAGGGACCGAAAGCCTCTGCCAGCTGCCTGTTTGCAGCCCAGCTCCGAAACGTGCTCTGTAAAATGACCCTCAGCTGCCACCAGGCTGAAGCTTCGTTGTCCCAGCCCGCGGGAGGGATTTGTGCGTGGCGAGGGGTGCCCGGCTCCACAGCCATCGGGCTGGGCTGCCTGTGCCCCCCAGGTCCCTGCTTGGGGCTGTGCCATGGGGACGGATGTGCCATGGTCCCAGCTGCACCTGCTTTGGGTGCTGCCACCCTGTTTCAGTCCTCTCACGGCTGAAGCTACAACCGTGCCCTGGGCTGTTACTGGCCAAGCTGCCTTCGTGGTAGCAGAGGCAGCGTGGTGCCCGCTGCAGCCTCCCAGGAGAGCAGGGACTCCCTGCCCTCCTCACCAGGAATGTGATGGCTCCTGTCCTGTCTGCCCCAAAGCAGCCCTGGGTGTATGGGGAAGAGAAAAGGAGCAGGAATCCTGAGTGAACCCTCCGTTTTCCAGCACGGAGCACCAAGCTGCCAGGGGGACCTGCAGCGTTACCTGTGCTGGGAAACGTCCCCACCGAGGCAGGCACGAGATGGCAGCTCCTGCCCGCTCGGTGTCACACACGTTGTAGCTGCTCCCCAGAGACAAGACACTACGGACAGTTCAGGACTAATGACAGACAAGAAACTGAGTTCTGAATAGACCACAGGTGAGCAGGGGACCCCCGCGGGGGGCTGCGAGGGGGAGCCCTGGCCTCGCCAGCCTGTGCAGGGGAGGTTCGGATCCGTGCCAGGCCCTCAGTGCTGGCTCCGCTTGCGGTACAGGTAAGCGTTGCTCACCTGGTTCATGATAACCAGGCTGGTGAGGAGGGGACACAGCATGGCGAGGTACCAGGAGACGCTGGTCACCGAGGTGGTGAACCACAGGGAGCACATGCCCAGCATGAGGCTGGTGCAGCCCAGCAGGTAGCCCACTAGCCCCGAGGTGGCATGGTACAGCTTGAGCTTGGCCAGCGTCCAGTTCTTCATCAGCTTGGGGTAGAGCAGGAGCAGCCCCCCCGCGCACTGCCCGCCGGCGTACAGCACGGTCAGCAGCCCCGTCAGGCCGTGCCAGGTGACGAAGTGCGCTTTGCCGTTCAGGTGCTTGTTGTAGGTGATGAGGCCCAGCCCCAGGAGGGCGCAGAGGAGGGCGAGCAGCTGCAGGGCCCAGTGCACC